TGGACTAACCACACCCACCAGTGAATGGTGTAACAATACTCTATCTTTCTTTACTTTGGACGATAATTCAAACAAAGGTTCCTCCTTCCTTTGCAGCTGTCCTCTAACGTCCTATTCTAATGTAACCATTGGAATCAGCTCTGGTGATACATGGCGGGCCTGGCAGTCATCAGCAACTAACATGACAATAAAGGGCGGCCGTTATAAGTGGGTGTGGCTTGACACTGTACGATGGGATACAGTACATATCACTAATGTGTTTATCAATAATTTACTGATGAAGAATTCAACATGGATCAGTGTTAGACTCAATAACGTCTTCATTAATAACACTTATGTGTGTGAGACCAAGTTTATTAACGTATCCTCTGATAATGACAGTACTACTGAGGAATTGTTTAATGAATCTCTTTGTCAAGATCTCCTCCTATTGCCCAGTCCTTTCTGTCCAGCTGGTGAAGGTGAAGTGATGGCACCTAAGGACTATGATGCAGAATATTCACACGATCTTATTATAACAGCTTCTGGATATGTGGGGAATTTAGTGTCAGCTATTGCTGTGTTTTTCTTTATCCGGTCTTACTGGCTGGGTATGTGATTTGTAATTTTAAAAATTATTTTGCTCTCTCTCTCTCTCCCTCCATCTTTCCCCTTCTCTAAACAGCATTCTCTCTCTTCATATCAACCATTAGTGTATTTATGTTGTATTTCATTCGAACTGAAACTGGTGCTGTTGTATTACTGTGTGTATTCAAGGCAATCACCATACCGGCCTGGAGCAGCACCACTGTACTGGTAGCTGACCTCTTCCCTACTGCTCTGAGGTATTGGGAAAGTTTAGTATTTTCTGTTTTTGGACCATTACATGTACCGGTAGTTCTATTTTTAGATTCCCATTCTATTTTTTTAGATCAACAGCAGTGGGTGTGTTCCTATTATTAGCCAGGATAGGTGCTATTATCGGTACTTATACTTTTGGTCTATTCACTTCAACCAGTCACGTGTCAGTGCCTGTTCTACTGACAGCTGCTATACTACTGGCCAGTGCCATCCTCTCTTTAATGCTCCCTTGGACTACAAGAAAGACTTCTTTAAAATAAATGTATCATCACTGTGTTTTATACCATCAGCTAGCAAATTTAAATTTATTATGATTTTATTATCATTGTTCTTTAATTACTTAACTAACTAGCTATCAATGAATATTAATTAGTTAATGACACGTGGCTACTTATTAAGTATTTTAATTAACTGATCTTTAGGTAACAAAAGGTTCTCAATTTAGGTACTAAAAGAGCTTTCACCAGCGCCCAACTATGGTCAGTTTTAGCTTGCTTTGTTTAGTTTATCAAAAATTAAAAATACCATTAATTATCATACTAGTATTTGTGTTTTTATCCAATAGTTTTGTGTAGTGTTTGCCGCCATTTTATGACACTGCCTGGCTTATTTATTGTGTTCTGTTTTTATTCCTTTGGTCTAGGTCCTCCTAGCAGCTGCAATATGCACCAAGCAAGGGAAAGGTAAGGGGAATCGGGTATTTGTGAGGTGTGCTTTAATTAGAATAACTATCATTATTGTCATTATTATTATTCTTCTCTAGCTCTTATATCAAGACAGTTTGTGGAGATGACTCGTTCACGTATTGAAGGTCTCTTGGCTTCCTTTCCTAAACTAATGAATTCTGGTCACCAACACACCTTTGTGGAGACGGAGAGCGTCCGCTATGTCTACCAGCCCCTGGAGCAGCTCTATATGCTCTTGATAACGACTACCACTAGCAACATACTCGAGGACCTGGAGACACTCCGCCTCTTCTCTAGAGTGGTAGGTTTTAAGAGAGACCTGTCTCTCTGACATTTGTATTTTAATATACTAGTCAAGCCTAAGCTCCTCTCCTTCCCAAACTCATCAATAATGTGATTACAATACATGTACCCGTACTCAATTGGAAGTGGATTTTTATCACACATGTACATGTATATCTATTTGTACATTATTTTTAATTAGT